CCAATCCACAGCACTGACGTAAAATTCTGTCTGAGGTATACAAAATATACAATTAAAAGAAAAAAAAATGTTTTTTGAGACAAGGTCTCACTACATAGTCCAGGCTGGCCTCAAACTCTTGTGATTTCCCTGCCTTGGCCTGAATGCTGCGATTACAGGAGTGTGCCACCATGTCTGGCTAAAATATTCAATTATTATCTTTAAAAAAGAAAGCTCTTGAATTACAAATCCTACTTCATTAAAGAAGTAAATCCTCAAACTTACATCCTGGACAGTTTTTAAGATGTTTGATTTTCAGGCTATTCTGGGTGATTTAATTTGAATTTAATCACTATATCTGACTATAGGCCATGTACATACAATTTTCATTTCAACAAATATTTGTTGGACTAGGTTCTTGCCCGTGTGCATGAGGCCCTGGGTTCAATCCCCAGCACTGCAAGAAAAAGAACTGTGGTATATTACGGAGTAATGTTTGGAACATACAATTGATAGTTCTAGGTTAGAAATCTGGTTCTCCTACAAATTGTTTGACCTTTGGCAATTTCCTTAAGACATTTTTCCTCTTTAAATTGGAATAATAAACAGGGTGTGGTGGCATACCCCTATCATCCCAGCACTTAGGAAGCTGAGGTAGGAGGATCCCAGGGAGTTTGAGGCCAGCTTTGACTACATGAGTTCAAGGTCAGTGTGCAACGCATAGCGTGACCCTGTCTCAAAAACCCAAAACGTAAAAATAAATAGAATAAATAAAATTGGGATAATTGTATCTTCCCCACTGGACTGAGAAATGAGATAATTTTTGTATGTTTGTTTTGAGACAGTCTCCCTGTGCAGTCAACTGGCCTTGAACTTAGTATGTAAACCCAGGCTGGCATCAAACTCAAGATCTTCCTTAGCCTCCTGGGTGTAGGGATTACAGGTGTTCACCACATGCCAAGCTATGAGATAATTTTGTATGACATGACATCCATCTGTTAAGGTGCTCATGACCTAGATGGGGAAGCATAAAGAAAATAATTCTAATACTGTCCTATAGCAATAGATATGAAATTTAGGTAGTTTGCCTTCTATTTAGGGGATAAGAGTGAGTGAATCATAAACAAGAATAAAGAGGCTGTAATAATCCAGGAAAACTTTAGGTGTTATCATACAGGGTGAGCTGAGAATGGCATTGTAGACGGGAGCCCTGCTGTGCCTAGTGTCATGACCTTCAGGAAGTAATTTTTTGTTAAGATTTGGGAGACAACACTTTCATCCTTTTTTTTTTTTTTTTTTTTTTTTGGTTTTTCTCCGGTACCGGGAACCGAACTCATGACCTTGCGCTTGCCAGGCAGGCGCTTTTGCCGCTGAGCTAAATCCCCAGCCCCTACATTCTTTTTTTTTTTTTTTTAACACTTTCATCCTTACCTTAATCATTTACAAGACTCCAAGGAATGCTGATTCTTAGGCTCAGAGAACAGGGCCACTAGTCGCACTGTAGTCTACAAAAAAGGTGCCCTTTGAACACAACAGATATGAATGGAGGCTCCCGGAGTTGTACACTACAGCAGTGCTGGCACGGCAGACAGAGGAGCTGATCTTTAGCTCAAAACTTGGGGTTTCCTTGCTATCAAATTATTGCTTATGCTCCCTTACTTAAGGATATGTAACATGGTTAGAGATAAACATTAAATTAAAACAAACAACAAATCAAGCACATCTCAAGGGTTTTTCATAAGAACCTGGTAAATTTTTTAAAATGAATTTAATGGAACCCTATAGGTACTGGTTACTTAACAACAAATTAACATAACTTATGTATTCTTAAACCATTGCTTAACAGGAAAAAATAAGTGTAAGAGCCCAATCATTTATTTTGTGCTTTTCTAAAACAGGTAAATAAGATTTACAACCATAAAAATTAAGACCATGAATCAATTTTCTGCTGACATTTCTTGAATTATCCCCCAAGTTTAAGGTCAGCTTCCTTAGAAAATGTTGCTGTAGTTGTTACGTTGGCAAAAACAAAAAAGAAACAAACAAAAATCTAACCTTAGTAAAAAGCATTCATTTAGCAGGAATACTTCTGAAGTCAGGAATATTTTTTCAGGTTGAAGATTCCAATATGCTTTGTTCAGAAAAGGGGGAGGTTAAGAAAAATATAAAACAAAAAAGAACACTGGCTCCTTGTATACACAAAAGGCTACAGCCATTAAGAGTTGTCAACAGGATAAAAGGGAATACTACTGACAGATATTCTCTGGATGAGTACCTGGAATGTGATCAAAATCAAAAAAGAGGAAGCAGCACATAGTTTTGTGTAAAATAAAGACATCAGTAATGCATCATAAAAGCTCTACCTAGAGAATTTTAAAAATTAGATTAACTGAACTGCAACAGAAGAAACTTTAGATTTAGAAATCTCTCATTTAATTGATGAATCTCCCAACAGTTCAGTGACCTGCCCAAAATCACACTGACAGAGTCTGGACCAGAACACAGGTCTCCTGACCTGTAGATATGCTATTCTCTGTACTAACTCTTTCTTATCTGTCCCTAACCACCTGAAGTGGTCCCCCAATTCTCTCTGCTCCACAATATGCCCCTTTAGGGTACTCAGAGGAATAGAATTCTGGACTGTGTTTAGACTATGTAAAACTACTGATCTAATAATAAATGAGACACTACTTCAGCATGAAAGTACTTGGGCATGGGAAAGAAGAGAAATATAAAATTAGAAATTCTGTGACAAAAATAAAAGAAGCACATAAGGAAATATATTCCTCTTTTGTAGTTACTTTAAGTCAATATATTATATAAAACATAACAGAAATCAGATTTATAAAATAAATTGAAGTGTTTGGATGAAAAAAGAAAGACAGCTTTGCTTTCATGTCTACAGATCTCTCAATAGATCTGTAGTTTTTTTGTTTTTTTGAGATAGGATCTCACTATATAGTTCAGGCTGGCCTTGAATTTACTCTGTAGCCCAGGCTGATCTCAAACTCACTGTGATCCTCCTGCCTCAGCCTCCCAAATGCTGGGATTACAGACATGTGCCACAACACCTAGCTAAATTGTTGGTGTTGCACTTTAGATATCAACTAAAGGTATCTAGCTTGAAACAAAAAATTGATATGCTGCAAGGTTACCTGTAGTTTAGTGATTGGCAGGGAAATGACCAATTTTCTAAATATTATCCTAAAATACTGGCTATAACAAGTGCTGATATGCAAAACACAAGCTTTTATCAGAAAGCAAGAGGGAAACTTGAGTGAATGAATACAACTTACCTCCAAGTTCTCTGAAAGGAGGTAAAAAAATAAATACTGCATTTAACCAGTGCTCCCCACAAAGCATTATTCTAAGCATGCAGGAGATTGTCGTGAGCAGCTACATAATAAAATCCAACCCAGAGGTAGGTTCAAGGCCCAAAGTAGGAGCGTGGTGGAAGCAATCCTCCTAGGGCCAGTTATCATTTCACAGAATGCCCATTTGTGCTGGGAGATGAGCCTATGGCCTATTTTATTCTCAATCAAAAGGACATCCCGCCTTCAACCTTGCTAAAAAACAGGCATTCTTGCACCTGCTACTAAGAACAGTTAGGACACAGGGTAGGGCTGACATAAAATTATTAACAAGCACATGCTAGCTATCCCTTGAAATCTACCAAACTGTAAAAGAGAGCAGAAATAAAAAGCTGAAGATGAACTGTTGTTCCTCAAGATAAGGAAACAAAATCTTACAATAAAGAGAGGTTAGGCACTCACTTAACTCTACAGAGAACACTTTTCTCAAGCTAGGTGAAAGATAAGGAACAATATTACCAAAAGCTGACTGGGACACTTACAGACCAAAAGGAGAGGGAAAGGAAGCATTTAGGAAGGAAGATGGTGAGGCTGGGGATATAGGTCAGTGGCAAAACACTTGCTTAGTGTGTGTGAGGACTTTGGCTTGATCCTCAACACTATAAAGGAAAAAAGGAGAAGGAAAAAAAAAAAGCAATAAACAAAGTAAAAGAAATTCTTCTGGGTCTGAGTAGGTAAGTGAATTTAAGGTAACTACACCAAAGATAACTGACCTATTACACCAGCATGAGGCTCTTGGCTAAAATATCTTAAGAAATCTTTTTTTATTTTATTGGTTTTTTGAGACTGGGTCTTGCTGTGTAGTGCAGGCTGGCCTTGAACTCCCACAATCCTCCTGCCTCAGCCTCTTAAGTGCTAGAATTACAGGCATGCATCACCATGCCTTGCTCCTTTGTTTGCTTTCCTGGTACCGGGGATCAAACTCGGGACCTTGTGCTTGCCAGGCAGGCACTTGTGCCGCTGAGCTATATCCCTGGACCCCAGGCCTGGCTCCTTAACCCCCCCTCCCGCGCCCCAGGATAGGATCTCACTACTCAGTTCAGGCTAGCCTGGACTCACTATGTAGCCCAGGCTGGCCTCGAACTCAGTGATCCTCCTGCCTCAGCCTCCCCAGTAATGGGATTACAGGTGTGTGCCACACCTGGCTTAAGACACTTTATCTACCCATCTATCTATTTGTCTCGGGAATCTAACTCAGGACCTTGTGCTTGCCAGGCAGGCACTGTGCAGCTAAGCTATGTCCCTGGTTTTCTTAAGACATTTTAAACCCAGAGAAAAGTATGAAAACTACAAGTTAACCAAATAAATTAAAACCAAACCTCCAACAGTAAAAATCTCTTTAGATTTGAAATCAAAGATACTCATTTTTCATTAATTCTGTGTATTAGTGGGGAAAAAAAGTAGCAAATGTAAAGATTTGTTTTATTTCTACTGGGGGAAGGAAGAGGATAAATAAAACTGTTTTCCAAATTGTTCTCCATTGTGTATACACACCCACACGCATACATATACATACATACACCCAAATCACCCCCCCCAAACAAAAAAACCCCCAAGAATCAAAACCCCTTCACCCTCAAGCTGCACCAATACTTCATATTTTGACCAAAAGAATAGATCCTGGTAGGAAGTGCAAAATGCAAAATCAAATGACCGAAAAATGCTGAACAAACAGCATTATTAATATACAAAATATTATATTACTGAACTAGTAACAGATGATGTTCTCTGTGTCGGTAAAACTTTGGAACCACATAGCTGATTTGTTAAATCTAGTCCATGCCAGCTTCCAAAAACCAGAAAAGATTTCAGTTAGCTTCATTCTTTGATGCTTCATCAAAATTTTCTACGAGATCTGGAAAAAAAGAAAAAAGCAAGTGAGTCCCCAAAAAGTAAAAAAAGAAAAAAAAAAAAAGAAAACAAAGTAAATGGAACACTGAATTTTAAATTCCAATTAAGACAACATTGCTGTAGCCAGAATTAGCCTGAGAGCATATAGAATATGTAGAAATAAACTGATGGCATTGCACTAATTATGATTCATTTATCTGTTTAAAACAATAGTCTGAAGGAAATTTTTTTTTTTGTCTATGCCAACTACTAAGTGAAAGATATTTTCTTATGTCAATTATAATTTCCATGGAAACATTATATAATAATAACTGCAAATTTATAATGACAGTGATTTCAATATAATAAATGTAGGTAGCAAAGTTTTGTGTAGAAATTTCTGATTCTACATTCTAATGAGGAAACTTTTTTTTTTTATTACATCCTATCCATATCATTGTGGATCAATTTAAATTCAGAGCTCACAATCAACAAAATCCTGAAAGTCACCTATTCAATTAGTGAAATGAGATAAATAGCATATTAAAAATCTTAAGACTAAAGCAATGTCACTTACCTGGAACATCATCATCTTCTTCATCAATGTCTTCTGGTTTTGGTGCTTTGCTATCCAACACTATGAAAAGTTTACCATTAGTCATTAAGAACAAAGACCTTCACAGAACACTTGTATGTTTACAGTATTATTTTTTCCCTCTCTAAATCTTACATAGTTGCTTAGAAAAAGCTAAATACTGTCAATCAGTCTAAAATCCTAAATCCTAATCAGTCTAAATTCATAGTTTTTCGCTTAAGCAACATTAAAATTAATGGGCTGAGGATACTGCTAAGGGGCACAAAGCGCCTGCCTGGCAAGCACAAGATCCTGAGTCTGATTCCCAGTACCAAAAAAAAAAAAAAAAATCAATATTAAAATAAAACTTTAACAGCTAGATATACACTAAATGTAGCTGGTGATTTCAGTGTGCCACAGATAAAATTTATATGCAAAATGGAATAATAGGTTTGAATAAAAATAAATGGGTTTAAATAAATATACATTATAATAAGTTACAGTAGCTATGTTCTCCAAGAACAATTAATATTAAAGCGTTTTCCATTTCTTTCAGAGGACCTAGCTATGCAGTATGTTTAGTACACTGAAATACAAGGCTCTTTGCTGTCGGGGCAATAACATCTGAAGTCACGACTATCTTGGAAATTGATAATTAATGTTACCGTATCTATAGTATGATAAAAAATATTGCATCTGAATATTTTATATCCCATATTATATTAGTTATTAGAAGAAACAAGCTCGAAATTTACCTCAGTATAATACTGAGGTAAAACCTCTCAGTTTAAGATGGGACACCTTTTAAATTATTAGGTTTCTTTTAACTAAGTGGAGAGCAGGAGAAGACGTACCAACAAACTGAAATACCTACCTTGCCTTGGGAACTGTTCAGCTAATTTTCTAAGACTTGTTAAGCTGTCGGCACCAAGCTGACTTAATATTCCGGGAAGCATTTCTGTGATTGGTTTGGCTTCTGCATGACCAGTAATTGCAAAGGTGTTAGCGGAGAGGGAAGCCTGGACTTTGGGATTGTTGAAATGAATTACTGTCCCATCATCTTTAATCATGTTCACCTGTATGATTACAGAAAAAATGCATTTCACATGTTATGTCCAATGAAAACAATACTTTTTAAAAAATGCTGCCTGGGGCAGAAGTGATGGTGCATGCCTATAATCTCAGCACTTGGGAAGCTGAGGCAGAAAGATCACTATGAGTTCAAGGCCAGCCTGGGCTACATAGTGAGTTCAGGACAAGCCTGGACTACACAGCAAGACCCTGTCTCAGAAAAAACAAAAAACAAAAAATCTCACAATGAAACAAAACCCAACCAACCAAACCAACAAAACAGCCATCGAGGGCCTAGCATGGTTGCTCATGCCTATAATCTGAGCATTCAGGAGGCTGAGGCAGGAGGATTGCCATGAGTTTAAGGTGTGCTTGGGCATAGTGTGTTCAAAGCCAGTCAGAACTGCATAGTAAGATGTTGTCTCACCAAAAAAAAAAAAAAAAAAAAAAAAGAAAAGAAAAAGAAAAAGCCAAGTAGCCACTTAAGAATTTTTATTTAGTAACTATGAAATTTCAAAGTAGTAATTAGGTAAGCAATGGATATAGGTAGAACAAGACCCTAGCAATAAAATACAACGGTGTGGGATGGCATAAATTAGGATGGTCAAGCAATAGTCATTTTATTAGAGAATCTAGATTTCAAATTCAGACTTTTATGAGAAGGAAGTTCAAGTCCACATTTTTTTTAAAAAAGGAATTATTAACCAATACTAGCTTTTTAACGGAATTACCCATTATTTTATTCAATTTACATTATCAAATGAAATCAGTGCAATTGCTACTTGATGAGGCAGCATCTTACTTAGGGAACCAAATATAGAGGAAACAGTATATGGTAAAAATAACCACTGAAAATCCACAAAGAACACTCAGAAATTTAACCAACCAGGTATTTCACTATTTTGAACACTTAATAAATTTACAAAAATTTCAATCTGCTCTGTCACTCTTAACAAGGGGTCTTGTCAGTTCCTCTAATTTTTTCTTTAAATTAGAGATGGCATCTTGCTATGTTGGACTCAAGCAATCCTCCTGCCTCAGCCATCCAAGTAGCTGGGACTATAGGCACATGGTACAGTGCCTGGCTAGTTCTTCCAATTCTTAAGCATAGCTTCTCAACAACCTTCAACAACCTCTGTAAATATCAAAGAAACTCTCCCACCCACCTGCCTATCTGAATATGTAACTGGAAAACCTTTAAAATCATCCCAACATTGTTTCTATAACTTTTACCAATATGAACAGATTATTTCAGATGTCATTTATTCCACTGCCCGGACTTGCTGAACATGTTCTATTTATTTATTTAATTTTATTTTATTTTTTACATGTTCTATTTAAACTGTTATTTTTGGGCCGGGGATATAGCTCAGAGACACAGCACCTCCCTGGAAAGTGCAAGGTCCCGAGTTTGATTCCCAGTACCCACAAACAACTAAATTGTTATTTTTTGCTGGGCATGGTGGTGCATGCTTGTAATCACATCTACTTGAGAGGCTGAGGCAGGAGGATTCCCAATTTGAGGCCAACGTAGGCAACTTAGCAAGACCTTATCTCAAAACAAAATAAAATGGGCTAGGATTATACCTCAGAGAGAGTACTTGCCTAGAACACATCTAGGCTCTAGGTTTGACCTCCAGTACTGAAAACAAAGTTGTTATTTTTCTCTCTCATTCATGTATTTTCTCTCTGCTTCTTTTGGTGGGGGAGGGTACAGCTCAATTTATACAAGTTAAATGTATAAATAATGTGATTTCACCATGATTCCACTGGTAAGTTACCTTTGTGGTAACATGCTTATAAATTAAAAAGGTTAGGAGAGTTAACTCTTGGCTACTTTAGAAGCACTTCATGATCCATCCAAAAACTGCCCTTGTCACAACCTAGCAGAGATGCTGAGTGTTCTCCATGGTCAGTGGGAATCGGGCTTTTCTTCCTCAGAGGTGATCACCACCACTGACAGCACCAGAAAGGAAGGGGAAGAAAGGGACTTCTAATTTCAGGCAAGACCTGGAACACAGAGAAAATAAAGACAAATCCCTGGAAAACTGTAACTAAACTCCACAAGTAATTTCCCAAATGTGCTCTTCCAAAAATCACTATTTTAATTCTCTATCTTTCCCTCTCTCAATACGGCACCTAAGGCTCTTTCCAGTGTTACCATATACAGTTAAGTATTCAATATTGCTGTTCTAAGTAAACGGAATCATGATCATGGCTTAATTTGTATTAACTTTAGAGAAGATAAACTATGTAATTCTGAAGATGGCTCCAGTGTCAGCAGAAGGGTCAAACGTTAGAGTGGCTAACAATGCCGGATGCCTGAGAAGGGCATACTAGTGATATGATATGAGATGTTGCCCTGAATTTATTCCAGAATCAAATAATCTCTGTATGGGAAACCAATAAATAAGAATAGGATAAGACCATATTTTCCAAATCCAGCCCAAATCACATGATTTAATAAAGGATTTCATACTTTCAGGTGTGAGATATCTCAAATATTAGAATTTCAGACACTTCTGATTTGCACACATTAAAGTCACAAGATTGAAATACACAGTACTGCTCCAAAATTCAACTCAACTTTAAAGTCTTCCAGTTCAAGGTCTTTATGTTAAAATCTGACAAGAGCTCTTAGTGAAGTACAAACTAAGTACTGAATGCAACCTACATTTATGCACTTACTGTTAAATTTCCTTCCTACAATATCACTCTTGTGCTTAAAATGTAATTTGCTTATGAAAATTCAACTGCAGCCAGGTGTGGTAAGGCATGCCCCCTATCTCAATTATTTAGAAGGCTGAGGCAGCAAGACTGAGGTTAAGACTAGTTTGGCCAATTTAGCGAGACCATTTTAAAAATTAAAACCGAATGTCGGGTGTGGTAGCCCATGTCTATAATCCTAGCGCTCAGAAGGCTGAGGTATGAGGATTACCAGGATTACCGAGAGTTCAAGGCAGACCTAGACGACATAGTGAGTTTACAGCCACCCTGAACTACATAGTGAGATTCTGTCCCCTCACCTCAAAACAAGTATTCATGCTGCCCATGGTGGCACATAGCTGTAATCTAAGCACTCTGGGAGTCCAATCCAGGAGGATCGCTAGCTAGATTGGGCCGAGCCTGGACAATTTAGCAACTTTGCATGATCCCGTCTCAAACAATAAAAGGGCCAGGTGTGGTGCAGCACTCCAGAGACTGGGGCAGCAGGATTGCCACGAGTTCAAAGTCCGCTTAAATTACATAGTGAGTTCAAGACCAGTTTGAATCACACAGCAATATCTTGTCTCAAAAAAATAAAAAACAAAAATAAAATAAATAGAAAGGGCTGGGGAAGAAGGACAAACTCAATGTTTTCTTAGGTAAATGAATGCAACTAGAGATCAATACTTATAAGTGAAACAGATCAGACTCACCTATGTAAACATCGTATTGTCTCCCTAGTGTAAGAAACTGAGAGAGCAAACAAGATCCAAAATGTACAACAGATATTGTGAAAGGGAAAGAAACTGCTCAAAAGGAAAGAACTGGAATGGGGGAAAGGAGAAAAGAAGGAAGGGAAAAGAAAAAAAAAAAAAAAATATATATATATATGTATACACATAAGATAGCAAAGATAATTATACTACTAATTTCTATTAGTTCATTGAAAAGAACAGGTTGTGCTTACGTTGTTTGATCAATTTTGCCTTACCTATATCTTGTAATCTGAGCAACTACTTTAAAGATAACAATGTGCAATACATTAACCATTGCTAATTTCCTACTATCTTATTTTGAAATTCTCCACCATTGTTTTTCTCTTTAAAATTAAAAAAAAAAAAAAAAAAAAAAACTAAGAAAAAAGGGCTGGGGATGTAGCTTAGGGTAAGGGCCATAGCTTAATCCCTACTACTGAAGAAAAAAAATTCATGACTGTTTTAAATGGGGTGGCTTAAAAGATGCAGCTTCAAGAATAAAGTGTTCAGAAAGGGATAGAGTTCATGTTAGAACACAGGGAATGAAACACAGTACTATAAATTTAAAAGGCCAGAATATTTTATTTCTAACATTTTTTCCTTCCTAATGAGCAAATGACATGGTTATATAACGTTCCTGGGCCCAATTTATAAGAAACCACCAAACCATGAATTGTTTGGATGAGCAAGAATAGCTAGACACCTCCCCCACCCTTCTAGGCAAAAGAAGGGATAAGGACCTTGTTAAACTCACCAAGTAAACTGTGTGCATTTCATAGGGAGACTTTACTTATTCCAGTGATGCTATGCTATTTAAGTAGGTCATACAATCTATATATAGAATAGGAACAAGGAGCAAAGAACAAGTAAGCAAAGGCTATCAAGCTAGCCACTATGCCAGTGTTTAGGCTCCCTTTTCAATTAAAAAAAAAAAAATCTCCTTTGTGTGAAAATAAGGTTTCTTCCCATTTAAAGGCAGCCAAAAGTAAAGGTTGCTATTTGTCATTCTGAGATCCCAATCCAAAAACAGGACATCTTCGCTCTCTTGTTTCTTGCTCTAACAATCCAAAATATCTTGTAGTTAACAAAAGCCATTTTATCTTCTCAAGCCTAGTACATTTGCATGTGCTGCTTTCATTGTGTAGAAGAATCATTTCCTGCTTCTCTACTTGTAAATTTCCATTTAGCCAAGGCTCAGGTCAGATGTTTCTTACTTTGTGAAAACTTAAAAGTGGTTTATGCACTTCTTGCACTTCATAGGTACTGCTGATATACAGAATTGTCTTCTGGTATAATTGTGTTTGCAAACCTTTGGCTCTACTAGGTGGACTTCTTGAGATCAGAGACCAAACCACACTAGACACAGGACTCTCTGAAGTGTCTAGTACATGACAATCGCTGTTACTTGCTCAATTGATACCTCCTACACAGTTTAACAGGATGCTGTCAGATTTCAACTCCCCAAACAGCATCAGCAGTGGCCTCAATGAAGATGCCTAGAACCTCTGGGTTGTAACTTTGGTGTGACTTTTCATGTAGCTCTG